CTTATATACAGTTAGTTGAGTAATGTATATATATGCATATTGTTTTTAGTATGATCCCATGATTCTATGTAATCCATATTACACCATCATCTCATTTGATAAATGACAATAAAGTTCCTACAAAAATAAATAATTGATAATAGAAAAACTTTACATGCTTTCTACTTCATTAGCCGGTAAAAAACATAAACCTATACGATCAAACCACCACAACTTACTTTTTCTTTCGTCTACAACTCACCAATCAAAATTTGAATTATATATCACACGTGATAAGATATAGAAAGTGTATATTCTCTTCAACGTTTTTCCTGTAATTACGCTGTAGTAATCTCTATATTTATTCTCAATATTGTCTTTCCTTTGATGTATATTGCTTTCTGTGTATATAAACAGACTCTGTTTATATACACAGAGAGCAATATACATCAAAGGAAAGACAATATTGAGAATAAATATAGAGATTACTACAGCGTAATTACAGGAAAAACGTTGAAGAGAATATACACTTTCTATATCTTATCAACACGATCGATAGCGCATCATTAGCATGCATATTCTTAAATACCAAAGCAACAAAAAAATGATATGTAAGTTACCTTTTTGGCTCTTATTTTGGTTAAGCTTCGCTCCAATTGGTTTTCCAATTGTTGTAATTCCTCAAAAGAAGATGCGTCAAGTCCTTCTCCCATCATTTTTCTGCAAATGTATTTTTTTCCAACACAATCTTAATAAGTATGCGGTAATTAGTCATTTACATTGTCTAATGTTACATTCATAAAAAATCGTAAACATTTTTGGTTTAATTAACCACCTCGTCGAAATCTCCAGTTGTTCGATCTTTCTCGCCAAGCCATAGGTTTCATCTTTCACTTGCTGTCAACAAAGATAGTGTGACAGTAACACAAACGCAAATGTAACTATACATATGCAAATTTAAGAACTCTTTCATAATCGCAAAGATGAAAATGATTAAATAACCGTGACAACCATAGACATTTCCAAAAAAAAGTGTTTACCTGTGAGTTTTCATTTCTCTTATGGTTAGACCCGAGATCTTGTATTCGCCTTTGATACCGTTCTACTGTCTTTGTTATACTGAAAATTCGATTATTGAATCAATATTATAAGAAGCACAGATCGAACCTAGATTTCTCGAACATGTACCTAATAATCATAACATATTACACCCCAAACATATTCCAACAAACACAAAGAGAAATGTATTGTCTATCATAGCATTTCCAAGGAAAAATAACCATCTCACACACTCTCTCACACACACATGTACATTTATATGTGTGTCTGAGAGATCTAGTAAAAGCCTCAATACTAAAAGATAAAATAAAATGTTGAAAATAGAAGCAAAGAGGTCGTCTAGTCATGTGGATATGGCCTAATTAAGTAATTAAGAAAGTGGTTAACATGTAGATATGTGGTTAATAGCACCTAGTTAAGTTTGATTAACCCCTCTCGGCTTGCTTAAAGAAACACTAAATTATCATTTAGTTTTTGGCCTAATAAAGTACGTACATGTAATTAAATAATCATATGCTAATAAGCATACACTATAATTTATAACTACACAAAAGAATGGTATAACAAATAGAGATAACATAAAAAGAATCAACATATTCTGATCTAGACACATGCTAATGAGTCCTTCACTGTCATCACTGAGCTAAAGCTTTTTGTACTATATATGTGTGTGAAATGTGTAGCAAATGCTTCTTTGTTGCCACCAT